GCGCTGACTGTAGCCTCGGCCGCGACCCTTCCTGGCGGAGCCTCCAGCCAGCGCAGCCCCTGGACCCTGGGGGATCACGACGAGGACATTTGCTTCCATCCAAAGATCTTGAAAGGTCCCCAAAGCATTGTTGGCAAGGCGTGGACAGTGTTACCTGCTGCAAAGTGGGGACCTTTGTATGAATGATAAATCTATGCAACAGAGCCTGCAACCAAATTATGCTTTTGTAAACTCTTACAACCTAAGGGCTTTGGTTTCTTCGACCATGGGACTCTGTTCCAGGCACAAGGATTGTTAGGAAGAGATGGGATCCACTTAACCAAGAGAAGAATGAGCATCTTCGAGGGCAGGCTTGCAAACCTAGCGAGGAGGCTTTAAACTAGGTTCATTGGGGGACTGTGATCCAAGCCCTGAGGTAAGTGAGGAAGTCAGATACCGGGAAGAAACACAAGGAGGAACAAGCAACAAAAGAGGATCCCTGATTTGAATGAAGAAAGTAGGGCGATCAGCTGGTTATCTAAGGTGTTTGTACACAAATGCGAGAAGCCTGGGAAATAAACAGGAAGAATTAAAAGCCCTGGCCCAGTTGAAGAACTATGATGTGATTGGAATAATGGAGACTTGGTGGGATGACTTGAATGACTGGAGCACTGTCATGTGAGGAGGCGTTACACTGTATGTAAGAGAGCAGTATGATTGCTTGGCACTCCAGTATTTTGAGGAAGAAAAGACTATTGAGAGTATATGGATTAAGTTCAGAGGTGGAAGCAACATGGGGTGAGGTTATGGTTGGTGTCTGCTATAGACTGCCAGATCAGGTGGATGAGATAGAGGAGGCTTTCTTTGGACAGCTGAGAGAAGCTTCCAGATCACAGGCCCTGGTTCTCATGGGCGACTTTAATCACCCTGACATCTGTTGGGAGACCAATACAGCAGTACACAGACAATCCAGAAAGTTTTTGGACAATGTTAGGAATAGCTTCTTGGTACAAGTGCTGAAGGAACCAACCAGGGGCCATGCGCAGCTTGACCTGCTGCTCACAAACAGAGAGGAACTAGTAGGGGAAGTAGAGGTGGGTGACAACCTGGGAAGCAGTGATCATGAGATGATAGATTTCAGGATCCTGACCAAAGGAAGAAAGGAGAGCAGCAAAATACACACCCTGGACTTCAGAAGAGCAGACTTTGACTCCCTCAGACAACTGATGGGCAGGATTCCCTGGGATGCTTACATGAAGGGGAAAGGAGTCCAAGAGAGCTGGCAGTATTTTAAAGAAGCCTTACTCAAGGCACAGGAAAAAACCATCCCGATGCGCAGCAAGAAAAGCAAATATGATAGGCGACCAGATTGGCTTACCGGGGACATCCTTGGTAAGCTTAAACACAAAAAGGAAGCTTACAAGAAGTGGAAAATTGGACTGATGACTAGGGAGGAGTATAAATATATTGCTTGAGGATGCAGTGGAGTTATCAAGAAGGCGAAAGCGCAATTGGAAATGCAGCTAGCAAGGGTTGTGAAGGATAAGAGAGGTTTCTACTGGCATGTTAGCAATAAGAAGGTGATCAGAGAGTGTGTGGGGCCCTTACTGGATGAGGGAGGTAACCTAGTGACAGATGATATGGGAAAAGCTGAAGTACTCGATGCTTTCTTGCCTCTGTCTTCACGGACAAGGTCAGCTCCCAGACAAATGCAATAGGCAGCGCAGTATGGGAAGGAAGTGGACAGCCCTTGGTGGAGAAAGAACAAGTTAGAAACTATTTAGAAAAGCTAAACATACACAAATCCGTGAGCCAGGATTTAATGCATACGAGGGTACTGAGGGAATTGGCAAATGTCATTGTGGAGCCTGTGACCATTATCTTCAAAAACTTGTGGAGATCAGGAGAGATCCCAGATGATTGGGGAAAAAGGCAAATGTAGTGCCCATCTTTAAAAAAGGGAAGGAGAACAATCCCGAGAACTACAGACCAGTCAGCCTTACCTCAGTCCCCGGAAAAATCATGAAGGGGCTCCTCAAGGAATCCATTGTGAAGCACTTGGAAGAGGGGAAAGTGATCAAGAATAGTCAACATGGATTCACGAAGGGCAAGTCATGCCTGACCAATCTGGGCGCCCGACTTATGCAAATGAAGCCCGGGAAATTCAAATCCCGGGCTTCATTTGCAAGTGCGGTATGCCTACATTACCCTCCTAGTTCGAACTAGGAGGGTAGTGTAGACATACCCTAAGATGGATAGAAAGCTGGGTAGACTGTCAGGCCCAATGGGTAGTGATCAACGGTTCAATGTCTGCTTGGCGGTTGGTTTCTAGCGGAGTGCCCCAAGGATCTGTTCTGGGACTGGTTTTGTTCAACATCTGTATTAATGACCTGGATGAGGGGATGGATTGCACCCTCAGCAAGTTTGCAGATGACACTAAGCTAGGGGGAGAGGTAGATATGCTGGGGGGCAGAGATAAGGTCCAGAGTGACTTAGACAAATTGGAGGATTGGGCCACAAGAAATCTGATGGAAGTTCAACAAAGGACAAGTGTAGAATCCTACACTTGGGACGGAAGAATCCCAGGCATTGTTACAGGCTGGGGACCAACCAGCTAAGTAGTAGTTCTGCAGAAAAGGACCTGGAGATTACAGTGGATGAGAAGCTGGAGATGAGTGAACAGTGTGCCCTTGTAGCCAAGAGGGCCAATGGCATATTAGGATGCATTAGGAGGAACATTGCCAGCATATCCAGAGAAGTGATTATTCCCCTTTATTCCACTCTGGTGAGGCCACATCTGGAGTAGTGTGTCCAGTTTTGGGCCCCCCACTATAGAAAGGATGTGGATGCATTGGAGAAGGTCCAGTGGAGGGTGACCAAAATTATAAGGGGCCCATTTCATCTTTGCCCACGAAACTTTATGCTCCAACACTTCGGTTAGTCTATAAGGTGCCACAGGACTCCTCACCACTTTTGCAGATTCATGCTAACATGGCTACCCCTCTGATACTCGACAGAATGGTAAGGGGGCTGGAGCGCATGTCCTATGAGGAAAGACTGAGGGATTTGGATTTGTTTAGTCTGCAGAAGAGAAGAGTGAGGGGGGATTTGAGAGCAGCCTTCAACTTCCTGAAGGGAGGTTCCAAAGAGGATGGAGAGAGGCTGTTCTCAGTAGTGACAGATGGCAGAACAAGGAGCAGTGGGCTCAAGTTACAGTGGGAGAGGTCCAAATTGGATATTAGGAAAAGCTATTTCACTGGGAGGGTGGTGAAGTACTGGAATGGGTTATCTAGGGAGGTGTTGGAATCCCCATTCCTAGAGGTTTTTATGTCTTGGCTTGACAAAGCCCTCGCTGGGTTGATTTAGTTGGGATTGGTCCTGCCTTGGGCCAGGGGCTGGACTTGATCATAGAATAATAGGATTGGAAGGGACCTCAAGAGGTCATCGAGTCCAGCCCCCCGCCCTCAAGGCAGGACCAAGCTCCGTCTACACCATCCCTGACAGATGTCTATCTAACCTGTTTTTAAATATCTCCAGAGAGGGAGATTCCACCACCTCCCTTGGCAATTTATTCCAATTTTTGACCACCCTGACAGTTAGGAATTTTTTCCTAATGTCCAATCTAAACCTCCCCTGCTGCACTTTAAGCCCATTACTCCTTGTCCTGTCCTCAGAAACCAAGAGGAACAAATTTTCTCCTTCCTCCTTGTGACACCCTTTTAGATATTTGAAAACCGCTATCATGTCCCCCCTTAATCTTCTTTTTTCCAAACTAAACAAGCCCAGTTCATGAAGCCTGGCTTCATAGGTCATGTTCTCTAAACCTTTAATCATTCTTGTTGCTCTTCTCTGTACCCTTTCCAATTTCTCCACATCTTTCTTGAAATGTGGCGCCCAGAACTGGACACAGTACTCCAGCTGAGGCCTAACTAGTGCAGAGTAGAGCGGCAGAATGACTTCACGAGTTTTGCTTACAACACACCTGTTGATACAACCTAGAATCATATTTGCTTTTTTTGCAACAGCATCACACTGTTGACTCATATTCAACTTGTGGTCCACTATGACCCCTAGATCCCTTTCCGCCATGCTCCTTCCTAGACAGTCGCTTCCCATCTTGTATGTATGGAACTGATTGTTCCTTCCTAAGTGGAGCACTTTGCATTTCTCTTTATTAAACCTCATCCTGTTTACCTCTGACCATTTCTCTAACTTGCTAAGGTCATTTTGAATTATGTCCCTATCCTCCAAAGAAGTTGCAACCCCACCCAGTTTGGTATCATCTGCAAACTTAATAAGCGTACTCTCTATCCCAATATCTACATCATTGATGAAGATATTGAACAGTACGGGTCCCGAAACAGACCCTTGAGGAACTCCACTTGTTATCCCTTTCCAGCAGGATTTAGCACCGTTAACAACAACTCTCTGACTACGGTTATCCAGCCAATTATGCACCCACCTTATCGTGGCCCTATCTAAGTTATATTTGCCTAGTTTATCAATAAGAATATCATGCGAGACCGTATCAAATGCCTTACTAAAGTCTAGGTATGTGACATCCACCGCTTCTCCCTTATCCACAAGGCTCGTTATCCTATCAAAGAAAGCTATCAGATTAGTTTGGCATGACTTGTTCTTCACAAACCCATGCTGGCTATTCCCTATCACTTTATTACCTTCCAAGTATTTGCATATGATTTCCTTAATTACCTGCTCCATTATCTTCCCCGGGACAGATGTTAAACTGACCGGTCTGTAGTTTCCTGGGTTGTTCTTATTCCCCTTTTTATAGCTGGGCACAATATTTGCCCTTTTCCAGTCTTCTGGAATCTCCCGTCTGCCATGATTTTTCAAAAATCATAGCTAAAGGCTCAGATACCTCCTCCATCAGCTCCTTGAGTATCCTGGGATGCATTTCATCAGGACCTGGTGACTTGCTGACATCTAACTTTCCTAAGTGATTTTTAACTTGTTCTTTGTGTAGCCTATCTTCAAAACTTACCCTCTCTCTGCTTGTATTCACTACGTTAGGCACACCTCCAGACTTCTCGGTGAAGACCGAAATAAAGAAGTAATTGAGCATCTCTGCCATTTCCAAGTTTCCTGTTACTGCTTCTCCCTCCTCACTAAGCAGTGGGCCTCTTGAGGTCTCTTCCAGCTCTATGATTCTGTTTTCTAGGGGTTTAACTGGTCCCTGGATGGTGGGTTTTTCTAAAGTAACCTCCAGGCTTCCCAAAATAACCTATTTTCCCCTCCAGTAATGGGACCCAAAAACTTGACCCTACCTTCTGTCTGCTGTGAGTGCCAGAGCCTTTATTTCCCTCCCTGAAATCCTTTTGGTTCCTTTCACCTCCATTACCTCTGCTTCTCTATGGTCTCTTCAAGCCCCAGTTCTCCCACACAATACTGCTGCTCCCTTCCTCACATGTACAAAGACGCATAAACATGTTTAGCACAATCTTCAGGCTACTGTTTTACTTCAGGCTTCATTTTTGTCTATAAAAACCTTCATGGAATTGAGTCATGTGATTTATAGACCTTGTCTTTCTATTTCCCTCTTGTCTGGTACTATCCACCTCTATCCTTTCAGACAGGATGGCCGGTATTTGTGCTGTAGCACATTTCTCTTCCAACTCTTGCTTCCAGAGACCCCTTTTGGTATCTGTCTCGTCATGCCTATATCTATTATGTGTTTCTTTTCCTATTGCAGGAACAATGATTGCATAATTGACACCTTTAGTGGCATAAATTGGGCTTTTTCATGGCTCTTTCACTTTGGGCAAATCACTTAACACCTACCCCTTAGTTTCCTCATTTGTAAAATGAGAGTAATACTTAGTGACTTCACAGAGTATGGGTGGCCTAAGTTATGGTTTTTAAAATGGATTGAAATCTTCAGCTGGTAGTTGTTAGACAAGTGTATAGAATTTAATTCCTCTGAAGTGCTTGGGAATCCATTGTGACTAAAAAATTCTACAAAACTTTTAAGTAACAGTTTTATCCACAAAAAGTCTCTGAATTGGCTAAATGAAAACTATTGCAAAGTGTAAAAATGCAAGTTAAACAGTCAAAATAAAACCTCTCATTTGGCTCTTTCCTCACTTAACAACTTCATTGCTCAAACTGATCTCAAATCAAATTTAAAATGTAGTTATAATGCTACTTGTCTTTCATTCATCTGAATGGAAAGGATTTTTATATTGTTCTTATTGACACTATGTAACTGAATTAAAATGGCTGTTTTTTTAAAAATTGCTGCTGTTTTACCATTCTGTTTAACACACACACTTTGATGATCTTGGAGACACTTCTTATGTTTCATCCTTGATGTTACTTAGTTTAGGGATCCAGAGAACGACCTGGATGTTACATTTGACTGCTCTGCCTGCTTTTTTGAACCAAAAGGATTTAGAGGAACTCTTTATGTTTTAGGTTTTCCAGTCTATCTTCATGAACTACTGGAAGGCAGCGAGATCTATCTCCCTGAAGTGGAGAAACCTCCAAGGGTATGTAACAAGCATGGAATAAATGCTGGCTACAGCTGTGGCTGGTTCACTGTTTTCATCTCTTAGCTAGGGATGCCAAAGCTAGATGTTTTCCATGTGTCAATAAATGTACAGATTAACTAATGGCACCTCACCTCTCATTGCAATTTCTCTTGTTTATTAATTATCTTTAGAATCCAGAGTTGGTGGCCCGTCTGGAGAAGATAAAGGCTAAGCTAGCCAATGAGGAATACAAGCGGATAACAAGAAACATCAACTGCCAGGTCTGAAGAAAGGCATGGAAGATACCAAATCAAAGATCAGTCTGTTCTCTAATGTTAAAGTAACAAGGGACTCAGCACAACTATTTAGTAATGAATTTAGGTCCCAGGTTCTTTGGTCTGGTATCTCCAGATGCAAAAGCAACTCAGTTCTTGTGAAAATGTCATAAGGCTTTCCCATGGCCCTGACTGGCTTATCCAAGAGTATCATTGTTGGGCTCCAGAGTAGGGATGTTAAAATGCATGTAATTAGCTAATTGAGTAGTCGATGGATTTTGGATTAGTTGATGGGGGTGGGGGGAACTGTAGAGCCGCAGTGAGGTTAGCTCCCAGCCCCGGAAGCTAACCCTGCTGTGGCTTTGTCTTTCAAATGTGTTAAGTGCTGCCAGGTCCAGGTCCCTCACTCCTGGTCCCCCAGCTGCACCTCTACTTTTTAAATGGATTCAGAGGCACAGCATTGGGGACCAGTCATGAGCCTGGAATCAGCCGATTCCCAGCTCGCAACCAGTCCCCTGCTATTGCCCTCCCCAGGGAGATGATGCTGGGGGGAAACTGGCTTTTAAGCCAGCGCTGGCTCCTGCTCCCCCCACTTGCTGCCTCTCCCTGGTAAGAGGCAGCAAGTGGGGGTAGTGACTAGTTGATAAGCATATGCTTATTGGGTAGTTGGCTAGTTGCTTACATCCCCACTCCAGAGTCCCTCTAAAGGAATGAGGACTGATGCAGCACGAGGCCTTTGAAGGGAGAAAGAGAAGTGGTGGAAGTCTTTTTTTCCCTCCTAAAAACAGGGCGACCAAATCTGTATTTTAAACACAAGAACCTGAGCATCAGGGTAGTATCCATACAAACTTACTGATTGAATATAGTTCTAGTCGCAGTGGGGCAGAAATGCATGATGTTTTACTGGGATTGTCCGCCCTATGCAATTGACACTTGGGGTGGAATAGGTTTTTTTAACCCTATTCTTCTCCTCTTAGGAATTGAACCAGTATGGGACTCTAGCTGATTTGGGAAGGCAAGGTGAGCGCTATCAACACCAGAGGAAACCAGACTGGATATGGGTGACATGGGAGGGATCAGGGGAGGATTACCTGTTGTGTTCCCTCCCTCTGGGGCATCTGATTTTGGCCACTGTCAGCAGACAGGATACTGGGCTGGATGGACCTTTGCTCTGACCCAGTGTGGCCGTTCTTATGTTCAGACAGTAAACAGCAAGCAGGCAGAAAACAATCTCTGAGAAGTAAATCATTCTACCCATCCTCAAAGATGGGGCAGCCCCACCCCTCTTGGAGGATGTTAGCACTAGATGGCTTGAAATAAGGGAGCTATTCTAAACAATAAATACTGACAAGGGATGATTATGCAGCATGTCAGAGCTTGAAGGATTTTGAAGAGCCTCAAGGATTGGGAGTTTGGATCAAAAGGAGAGAGCATGGTGCCCAAAGAAGAGAGAACCTCCCCCGTGACACTTTGTTTCCAGCTTACTTCTCTCTGACTAATGGTATGCCTCTGCTGCAGTTTGCAGGCAGAGGGTGAATTTAAGTGTTTTAAATCAAAATTGCTTCTTCAAAAGAAGGGAGTTTATTTTCTAAAGGTAAAGGCAAGTTTACTCTAGTATTTTTCTGCCTGAACAATAGGGAAGGTAGTGGCAGATCCAGCTAGTGATACTGTAGCTTACCCAACCCCCTTTATGTTGCATACTAATAACAAACAGCTTTTATCTGCAAATGCTTCTGCTGACGTTTCTCCCCTCCACTCCAGTTAGGTCCATGAAAGCTGTGGTCATCACCATATTCAACTTCATTGTCACGGTGGTGGCTGCATTTGCCTGCACATACCTCGGCAGTCAATACGTCTTCACAGAAACAGCAGCAGTGAGTGGCAGCTGG